CCCTCCAGAAACTCACTGTAATGACTGTTCTGCATGCCACCTTCCAACTGGTAAGATCCTGAACACCTGAGAAGTATTTGTATCATCAACCACAGTATAAATTAAAACCAATAAACAAACAAAAATAACAAAAAAACCCTTCACCCTTGTAAAATACCCACACAGAAAGAAAAGAAAAACAACCTGAAGAATTATGGACTGCAGCTATGAGAACAGTCCCAAAGGATCCAAAATTTGGGTGTCCAACAGGCATGGAGGAGCATTGGGTGGGCATTCATCTCAATTCAGCTGTCCCCTGCTAATGTGCAGTAATGACATTCAGTACCTGAGTTATCAGGGATGCATTTAGTAACTTATCCAAACTGAACCTTACCATTCACATCCTGCTCCCTGTAAAGCTGATGGAAACACAATCAAGAGTTTCTTGGAGAACAGGAGTGTTTGTGGTCTGTTGTGGCTGGATGCTTTTTATAAAGTTTTTGATTCTGTATGCACAAGTGTATTATTCTCTGATGTAATCTTTAGTGCATAATGGTGTTTTAAAATGTGCTTATGGATTAAGACTGCCCACGGACCCATTAAAATTATTTCTTGATGTAAGGGATATAGTTCTTTTATTTCAGAAGTGACTCACAGGGTCATGGAAGAAATGCTCCTATAGTTAGATTGCTCCATTGCTCTTTATAATAAAACCTCTCCCTTTGAAAGGGACTGAGGTGAGTTGCTATCAAAATAACATGCTAAATTAGAACAGATTTTAATACTGTGAACATTCAGTGAAAATTCTTATCTTCTCATGAAACATAGCAGCATGGTCCATAAATTTACAGACTTCTATAAGTGACTCCTTATCTAAAGGTACCATCTGCCATTCTGCAATGCTGGGGTACCACCAGACTTCCTAATAGCGTAATGATATGCTAGAGTAACATCAGTTCTATGGGATGTTAAATATTCAGTAGCTTCTCTTACACTGTAGAAGATTCAGGCCTTAGCCTTGTATAAAAATATGCTTGTCAAAAAGCTAGAGAAAACATACAAATCATCCAGTCCTACACACTGAAACCAGCTGCTGGGGTTACTCGTGCCCCAGGGCAGCTTTAATTTGGACATGCAATATATCACCGTAGGGTTACTTGATCAGAGTTGCAGTCTCAGGAAATATTTTCAGGACTATTCAATTTCCATTAGCAGTTTCTCCAGGATATATTAGGCACAAACTGGGTTTATTTCAATATCAATCATTCATGTTTTCTCTTTCATCCTGTCTTTGCTAAAATAGGATTTTCATGGAGGCCATGAAATTGCAAAATTTAGTCTGTTCTTATGGCTGTTCTATCATTTAGGCTCCTTTAATGGTGTTTTGCAGTAAAGGCTGGGTAAGGAACCTCTCTCCACCCTGGTGTTAGAGAACAGCCAGTAATGCTCAGTATTTTGGCTTTCCAATCAGTAGTTTACTCCCCTCTACTCCCATCTCTTTCTGCACACCTCAAGACTGATTCTTCTCAGCAGCTCTCTGGTAATGGGTACTTTTGCTCTGTTCCCCAAGGACGCAAGTTGGTTACACTTCCCAAATGTGCAAGAGTAGTACCTTCTCCAGGTCTGAGGTTAAAAATTAGTCACTTATGACTTTCACTGAGCTCTATGATGCTGCAAGCATACAAATGCTATCTATACCTCCCAAGGTCCCTTCCAAATTGAATTATCCTACAGTGTTGTTATATTCATACACACCAATGCATAGATGATGAAACCTGAGGACACCTTCTTTCTGAAAAGACTACAAAGCTGAAAATATTGCTTATTTTTGTTTGTCATGAAAAGGTAGAAAGAAGGAACTTTAAGAGCTGAAATGTTCTCCTGAGGGGCAGATTGTGAGACCAGTTGGTGACTCATGTGAGTTGGAAGCTCCCTGAGAAGTGAACTTTGCTAAAAAAAAAACAAAACAAAAAAAAAGCCCCAAACAAAGCAATTCCAAGAATAACCAAAACCCACCAATGCTTATGATTCTTTCACATTCCAAGTCCTGTGTAACAGCAACCACCTTAGTTATCAGTGCTCTTACTCAGTCACTTTACTAATGATATGATTCTGCTTTTCTAAGTAAACTTATGGAATTTCCTCCCTCTGATTTGCGAGGGCACTTCTCAGGGCCAGTATTTCCTTCCATTTAGCAAAAACAAACAAGAGCTTTCTCTTTGAAAGCATTTCAGCATCATGAGATAAGTTTCCTTCCTCCTTTTAATAATTGCAGGGGTCCCCAGAGAAAAGTGTCAACAACATTATTTCCTTCCAAAATCTAAGAAAGATACAATGTTCTTGTAGGTGGTGAGATTAGATTACAGCAAAATTAATTGTTGGTTTCAAGCTTTCATTTTTCAGGCAGCAACCTCAGCTCTCATAAACATGTTACTTCAACTCACCTGTGATCTTTATTCACCTTTCCCACATCTCTTCATCAGATGGTCACAGAGCACACAAAAGCTGCAGTGCCATTTAACTGCTACCCACAACCAAAAGGCATAAAATCCAGTAGTTAATGTCATTGCTTTACCTTAATTCTCTATCTGTAGGGAGTGTTCCCGAGGACAGGGCACAAGCGCATGGGAAGACACAGGATCACAGGCTCTGTCTTGATGAGTTTACCGTGTAATTTCAGACATGGTGAGAAAAGGCCATGCAGAGCCCAGGCTGTGGGGGTGAAAGAAGCAGCAACGACGAGACCGCACGGTCAGCCGCTGTACATCCCAAACTGCTTCGTTGAGGTGGCCAATTTGGACATTTTCTTTTATGAATAAATAAGTGAATAAATAAAATCAGCTAGCTCCGTCTGTTATTCCCCCGAACCACAATAGCGTAGATTGATAGCTTGTAGACAGGGTTTTTGAGGAGATATGGTGAAAGTGTCCTTCCAGATTAATTCAAGGACAGCACTCTAAGGAATCTGTTACCCATTTTTCAAGCGTTCCTATGTTTATTTACTGAAACAACAGGAGTAATATGACATCATAAATCTTTTAAAAATTGAAATAGTAGTGCCAGTCTTGAAAGATTAATAATAAGGAATGCCTTTTAGAGTGTGCTCATGGAAATGTAATATGAATGATTAGTGTTTTTGAACATTAGAATTACAGTGTATAATTGTAATGTTATAGCAGCTGTATAGGAGCCAGTGATCCCTTAATGGAATACATTGTGAATTTAATTATTTACATGGAAAAATCAGGGCTGATATAGTCGCTGAATGATAGAGCTACCGTTTCCTACATCCTGCAAGGGTTATGAAGAAACAGCATTGCTATCCATGCAGATAGATGCACTCAGTCCTTGTTTGTTATTTAGTCAGTTTTAAATTCTAGCCTACAGTTGATATTCTTTGTGCTCTAGATCTTATAGACCTGGAGTGTCTTTTAGGCTATCTTCCTGTGAGGCCTACCATAGGTGCCAAAATTCATCAAACAAGGATTTTGCTTGCAGGAGAATGGTGCTCACACTGGATACTGAGGTTCATTCTTTAGGCAGGGAGGGAACTGTCTCCCACCAAAGAACCAAGTGGCCACGCTGCATTTGCCCTGCATTTCATAGAATCATAGAATCACAGAATGGTTTGGGTTGGAAGGGACCTTAAAGATAATCTAGTTCCAACCCCCCTGCCATCAGCAGGGACACCTTCCACTAGATCAGGATCCTCAAAGCCTCATCCAAACTGGCCTTGAACACTTCCAGGGAGGGGGCATCCACAACTTCTCTGGGCAATCTGTTCCAGTGTCTCACCACCCTCACAGGAAAGCATTTATTCCTAATATCTAATCTAAACCTACCTTCTTCCAGTTTAAAGCCATTTCCCCCTTTTTTATCACTACCTGCCCTTGTAAAAACTCCCTCCCCAGCTTTCTTGTAGCCCCTTCAGGTACTGGAAGGCCACTAGAAGGTCTTCCTGCAGCCTTCTCTTTTCCAGGCTGAACAGCCCCAACTCTCTCAGCCTGTCCTCATAGGAGAGGTGCTCCAGCCCTCGGATCATCCTCATGGCCTCCTCTGGACTAGTTCTAACAGGTCCATGTCTTTCCTGTGTTGGGGGCTCCAGAACTGGACACAGTGCTCCAGGTGGGGCCTTACAAGAATTGAACAACCACCATTTCTTCTGCAATGGTGGTTTCAAAACTATTTGGCAGAATCACATCCAGCAAAAGCATGCTTAAAAAACATGTATATATGCTTGGGAAACACATTTCCCTGGAATGGCTCCTGGGTAGACTTAGAAAAAACCTAGGAGTTCTCCAGATGCTTTTATAAAGTCAGTAATATTAAAAGTAGTTTTGGTCAAGAGCAAAACCTCAGTCCCCTGCACAAAAGGCAGGATTGTGTAGATTCAGTATCCCCGTGTTGGTAGTTCTCCCTGCAAGTATTGGTAACTCACAGGGTGCACCTCATAGGGCTTCTCAGCTGCCTCGGGATGCAGGCGTGTGCCTCTGTGCCTCCCAGCTCAGCCCAGGGCCTTCACCCACCAGCCTGCACTCACAGCGGCTGCACCAGTCCAGAGGTTTGTTTACTTCCATGAACGATTGATTTGATAGCAAAGGGAAGAAAGAAGGAGAATTTTTTTAATCCTCTCAGTCCCCGTTGAGGGACTCATCCTAAAACTATCAGACAGAATTCATCAGAGTGGAAATCCCTGCTCTGGTAAGCCGTGGCCCTGGAAGGCGAGGGATGCAAAGTTCAGGATGGAGGTGCGCTTGCTGGATGCCCCGCACTCCCTCGCGCTTGGCGCTCGCCGCTGGTACTCACCTGTGCTGTTACACATCATTAATGTTACAAAAAGCATCTAACCAGATTGAGCTATAAGTGATTCACACCTAAACTACAAGTTTCCCTTTTTGCTGGAAAAAGATTGTAATTCAGTGAAACACTAATTCCAAAAATTCCTGGTGCACAATCCCGCAGGTGGGCACGTGTCTTTTGCATGCAAGGAACTGTAAATGCACTATGCAAGAGCACATTTTTTAACACAGTTTATTGGCACACTTATTGGCAAAGCATACATAAAATACAGTTGTATTATATAACACATTGACTCACTGTGTCTTTACATGATGAGTTGAACATATTAATATGTAAATGAAAAAATTAGTTTCTTTTATAAAGTTTCACATAAATACACCAGAATAATAAAAAAGTAAAACAAAAAATGTTTTGAGGGCTTTACAAAAATATTATACAAGAAATATACTATGAAAAGAAAAAACAACAAAGCCAACTCAGATACAATAATAAAAACACAAAAGTTTTAGATTTATTAAGCTGCCCACAAAGTTAATGGATTACATGGCTTTAAAATATCTGGATCGACAGCAATTTTACAAAGCATAAACTCTCATAGGACTGGGTGTCTTTTTCCACATAAAAATATTTCTCATGTCTTTGATGAAAAAAAGACATTTCTTGTTTCAGCATTTTTATTAAATGATTGAAAGAGTATCTACTGGCATCAGCTAAACGGAAATTAAAAATGCTGGATCCTTTAAATGATTAACCCATGAAAGAAAAGTTAAAGAAAGAACAAAATTTATTTTAAATTACTTTTCCTTAAAAGTTGATTTTTTTCTGAAACAAGAAATTTCAGGTGCAAGTTGAAAAGCAGAAAATATATTACAATTGTAAAAAGTTTTACATAGTTACGTTAATGAGATCCTGAGCACTGATGACTTGTTAAAATATGGCCATTGTTTGATGAGGAAAAAACCAACCCCTTCCAATAAAATGCATTGTCAGAAATTTGCCATGAGATGCTACTTAATTTTCAATTATTTTAATTGAGGTCAGTGCCAGTATCATTTTGTATGTTAATGCTTCCAAGAAATGTATATGGAAGCTTATACAAGAGATTTCCCTAATTAAAAAAAATCAGATAGCTGTATTTTAGAAATAGATACTGTATCCGCTGAAAGATTTTTTTTTTAAATTTTTTTGAAGAATGCTGTGAAACAGTAATTAATAATCCACTGACATACGTTGCAGTGGGTACTGCTGCAGAATAACCTATTGGGAAGCTTGTGGTGTGGGGTTTTCAGATTTAGTCTCCTGGTTAGCAGGAGGTTTGCTGTTCCACGGGCTGTTATTTCCCAGTGCAGGTGAATTGTTGAAATCTTCTTCATCATCCATGCCATTTGCTGCATCATACTGTGTATTCTCTAATCTAGTGATAAGCCTTTCGTCTTCATCCCCGAATTCGCCTCCCATCAGAGTTGGTTCTCCTACCACCATCACATCCTGTGAACAGCACCCAATATTTGTTATATGGAAACCTTGAGAGAGAAAAAATCAACTTAAAAAAATTATGTTAGAGAATTTGCATCTTTTAACTTTGTGATATTTGAAAAACAGAGTTAAAAGTTCCTGCATAGTAAGAACCAGGAGACAGGCTTACACTTTATTTCTAATTTAAATTAAAAACTGTAACACATCTCTCTAGCCGCATGCTCATGGCTCTGGATCTCAGAAACCCCAGAACTGAAAAGCAGGTTTCAGTTGAAAAAAATGTGTATGATTTTAAGCAAAATAAGCAGGCTATGAAACTGCATTACACTCCTGCTTGAAATATGTTGCCTTTATCCAGAAATTCTTTCCTGAGCCAGTTTATTTGGAAAGACACCAGGGTGCATTTCGGTTGCAACTTGGCGATATGTGTATTTAAAAAGTAATTTGAAAGAAACTGCATTTCTTATCCTCAGACTTCTTAAATGTGGAGCACAGCACTCTAATAAAGATGGTAACTCTCTTATCCATAGTCAGCCAAGCCCTTTTATGCATCCAATATACTTGACATTCTGCTACTTAATTATGGTAATTAATTTAGGTAAAGTTTTCGATAAAAACAATGTTCACACTGATTTGACAATTTGCATAGCTAATTAAGTCATTAGCAAAAACCTGCTGATTGCCAACAAGCCCTGAATTTACCATCTGTTATTTCATGGTGCCTGTCACCTAACTCCATGTAGGCAACCCTGCCGCCAATCTGTGCAGTAAGAGGACCAATCTGTCCAGCTGGTACCGTAAAAGGAAGATGAAGAGTGCTAATTATAATTACACTGATGAAGCTAGCAGTCATCAAAAACTGAAGCATGCAAGAAAGAAAGACTTCATCTAATCACTGCTTTAAATACAAATTGTCCTTCCATGAAAACAAGTAAACCGCCTACTGTACTCCAGTGCATCACACATTTGCTGCAAAAAACCTCACCAGCATGGGATAGAAAGGTGCAAACTTGAGATTGGAAAGCAAAGGTGCAAAGCCAGAGAGCTCACGTGCTCTCTCTGTTCAACAGAGAATCAGGCTGCTGTGCTAACCGCTAAAGAAATATGTGGGATGCAACTTTTCATGCAGCTCAGGTGGCAGGGCATCAGCTAGTGTCTGGTAAAAGTGCAGTAATTCCAGATGTCTAGCTTTGTACCTGCTGATTTAACAAGCCCTTCCAAGAATGCTAGCGAACAACAGATTCGTATTTTAAAGGATCTGTTCCTCCTTATGAATGTAAAGTAATTGTTAAAGCAAACAGAAGACAAACGTCTGCATTCAGTAAGGTCTCTTTTTAATCAGATATGTACTTCCTTCACTACTAAATAATACAAATTATTGCCTATAAGTATTTTACTCTTTCTCGACATCCCTCAGCAAAGGCTGCCATGCTACAGAAGAATGTTTATATCACATTTTCAGCCTGTGCTATGTGAAAAATTTGTGAGTAGATGGAACCTATTACATGATTTCTTCTTTACATTGTCTATGTTTTGTTGCTCCATATATCCATAAAATACTTGGTTAAATAAAACTCAAACACAGCTTTGTGACATAATAGTTTAAAAGACAAAAGTGTTTATAACCAAAAGTTTATCCTAATTTATTTAATCCTGCTAAACAACAGACAATGTATAGTGTGCACTGCTTTTTCCAGACCTGACCCCATTGTATTGCGAGAGCATTAATGACAAGAGAGACCTGGCAGAGGACAGCAAGTTGGGTTTGAGCGTGCAGTGTGATACAGCAGGCAAAAAAGACCACAGTGGCTGAAACAGAGAATCACAGACCGAGGTGGAAACAGTTCCTCTTACTTCAACGCTCTTGAGTAGGGACCTCAAGTTCTCCCTGTTGCCATACCAGCAAGAGGTTGGCAACTTCGATGAGACTTAGAGAAGTGCATAAAAAATAACAGTGGGGCTAGAAAAGCTGGCTGGGGAAGCCACGCGAAAAAATTAAATATGTATTACATCCACCAAATGATTGGGAGGGGTAAATATGCTTAAGAGCTGCAAGTGCTGAAAGGAAGAGGATCGCTTTAGGCCAATCCGATGAGATGTAAACTAGGGAACTAAGATGACATTAAGTAAATGAAAATGTAACCCCCACTTCTCAGACAATATTCCTGTTACTGAGAACCACAGACTGAGGATTAACGACCCCACTGGAACAGTGCTAGCTTTGCTGCTCTGGTCACCTAACACTGGGCTGGGAGAAATCTCAATCTGTGGTAGGAAACATTCACACACCAGCGGGGAGATGCTCAATGACCTTGTCAGTATTTCCATCTCTAATTTCTCAGATTCTTTGCAAATATTATTCCCTTAATATAATAACACCCACTGAGAGGACAGTTTACACTTATATTTCTCTCCATGCTATTGAGTATTTCTCTCTCTCTCTCTGGGAATTAAACTACAATCATATTGAGGTTAGTGGGGTTTTCCCTCATTCTATTTAAAAGATAGATGTCACAGCATTACTTACAGGACATTTAAAAAAAATAATATATATATTCTTGACAATCCTGCCACTTATAATTATGTCAGGCAAAAATAGTGTTTCAGGAAGCACACATGCTGGTTCCTCCCCGGAGAGGATTCTGCTCCTCAGACTGAAAGCTGAAGACCCCACCAAGTGCACCCCATTGAACCTCCACTCACTAGTTCCCGTGCAATGACCACCAACCTCTGAGGAGGACTGGAAGTGACTCCTTTTAGAGCCCCTCAATGCTTCTCCTTAAATTGGCCAGTGGGGGTCACTGCTGTTGAATGACACAAGGCTCCATCCCTCCCAGGGTTGAGGCTGCAGCTCTGGAGTGCTCCTAGCTCCTGCTCATGGAGTGAGAAGCAGAATCCAAGAATTAAACCCTAGTCTCTTGCACGGCAGCATACACTGCTATGGCCTAGTTATGGTAGCACATATTTGACTCGATTAGTTTAAAAAAGATTTAGACTGTAGTCACTCAATCTTATTAATTTACTCTGTGATTAGAAACAACATTTTTGGTCAAGGAATGTCTCATGATATTTAAATATGGTTGCAGTGAAGCACTGTAAATAAAGCAGTGGATGTTTTACATTATGTGATAGAAATGTATTATTTAATAATATAACCACAAAAGCAGCTTTCATGTATATCATACCTTTCATCCTGAAATAACCCTAATTGCCATCCAAACTGAAATTGATGCATATAAACTATACACAGAGATCACTTCATACACAACTTAAAAGCAAGCACTTCTATTTAACAGATTGGTCATTTCTCAGGCTTCAAATTTTTTTATACTTAGCCTCAAAGTTTAGCTCTGCTATACCCAGTTACTTAACTAAACCTTTAAACTTGGGATTTTAAAGATCACCCAATGGCTAGACAATGTCTTACTGGAGTCTGGAGGTAAAAAAGTGTGGTGGGCCACATAAAATTCCCCATCCCTATGCCTACCATCTTTGCTGCTGTTAATGCGTAGCCCCGCTCAGTGTGTTACGGTGATTAGTTTGTAGCTGAGGTGTCACAGTCCCCAGAAGTAGACAAACAGTGCTTCACAAGTTTGAGATAATTAAAACCTCCTAAAACTACCAAGTATGTTGTTCAAGTAAGTCTCATACTCCAAGGATTGAAAATTGCACTACTTTTAGCAGCCAGCATACGTCTAAGTGCTAAGTCAAAAAAAGAAGGGTACCTCCTCCTGCCTTCCTTCCTTCTGACACAATTGTGTTAGTGGCGATTATTTTAATAATTGAATTCTTAGCTCCTTGCCACAGAAATTATTATTGACTGAGCCCCACTGCTGCCACACCCGCAATGGACACTGCCTCTAAGACAAAAACATCGGACTAACACTGGTGTTGAAGTGATCTATAGAAACAGAATTGACATTTTAATTAGGTTTCAGAGTAAACAATTTCTAAAGGAAAATGGTTATCTTTCGCATCTCATCATAGACTTCTCTGTTAACTTGACATTCTGGTCTTGTTTGGAATATTATTCCTAAAGCACAACAACTGGAAACCAATTTGTTCACTCTCATTTCCTTACAGCACAACCTTAGATTCTAAATTGCACAGTTCTGAGACATGGGATAATTTCTGACACTGATCTTCTGGCCCTAGAACTGTAGCTCTGGTACTACAACATCCATTGCAAACCACCTTTTTAGTTCAGAAACTACCCCCTGTTTCTGAAACACATAAAAGATTATATTGCTTACTTCCACATTTGCAGATTTATTTGTGGACTTTGTTTTTGAGGAACTTACAGAGAAGCACAAAGAGAAAGAGAGATCATTGAGGTATGTAACTTGCTTAAAGAGTGCAAGGAGGCTCTAATTAAGACTCTGGATGTAACAAAGAACATTTGATTTATTTAGTGGCATGTAGAGATGCTTTATTCTTTCTAACATGAATGATACTTCACTGGGTTCATGATTACAGTATTACACTCATTAGTAAATAAAAGCAAAATCCACCTATTAATTTCTGTGGTTATGACTGGGAATAGCCTAGAGCAATGGTTCTTAGAGTTTGTGAGAGTTGTGCATTGTTGTCAAGTTTCCAGATTCAAAGAGATGAAAATGGATCAATGTGCGCTGTTTCTATTAAACTTAACAGAAAGGGTTATTTAAGTGATATGGCTTTACAGAGCCCTTCTGATGATCTCTCATATACCTGTAATCCACAGATCACAGTGTATAGGTCACTGCTCTACATACAAGGGCCTGGGCTTGCAAGAAAGTTTTATATGAAACAGCAGAATATGAAAAATGCAAAGGAATACGATTTCAGCCAGTAAAGAGGCTTGAAAACTGAGCAAAGACTTGGGAAAACACTGCAGCTAGCTTCAAATATTAGAGGAAATTAGTACTATGTAAATGATAAGGTGATGACACACTCAAATTAAAGAACTAATTTCTTTGTAATCATAGGAAGGCTACAATTAGAAAGGTAAGTTTTCTTTGAACCTTGTGGAAGGAGTCTTGCCCATCTTTGCTCTTTGTTAGGAAAGAGGAAACTGGTAATTCCAGTTACTGTGCAATGGGTTAACATTTCTTCCAAAGATCAAATGTGATTGAGAACATGAACAAATCTAAGAACAGTTGAAATGACTGGCATCTGCTGAAACTAAGACAGCTGAGCGAACTACAATTTCTGGGCCCCTGTTCTGTTAACTTTCCTTACACAGTAAACACTAGCCAATGCATTTGTAGAAAGCACTGGAAGTATTGAGTCTGGGAGAAGAATGAGAGCCTGGAAGAAGAAAACTTCTGGTTAGAAAAATGGTTTTGTATTCATGCTATTGGAATGACTTTAGTGGCACTTGGTTCTACTTCCAACACACTACAGCATGTTGCCTCAGCATCTACAGGATTCAGGTCAAAAGCATCACTGGACAAGTAACAGACCATCCTAGACATGAGTTGTGCAGTGCAATCATGTAGCACACTGGCTAACTACATTCATTTTAAGAATGTAGGAAATAAGTAATAGATAGAAAAGGTGTTAAATAAGGGACTTGGGCAGGGAGAGTCATATTGAAAAAAGATGCTGAAGGTAGCGTGAGAACCAGCAGAATCACAGGAATCACTGGTTTTCCCACCTTTATAAGGCAAAATGAGTGTAATAGAGTGCAAGTGGCTGTCAAACTGGCAAAACTTTGTATTTTATTTATCAGAGTATAAAAAAAAGTTAAGAGATATGAGGACAGACTGAGACTGACCCTTTCAAATTACTGATGGGAGTGAAGATGCATACCCACCCACTGGCAGAGACCCTTAAGATGCTTTTGAACACTGTGTTATTAAAGATGTATCAGAATGTGTCAGCAGTTAAAGCAATAATCATTTAAGGCAACACAAAGGGCACAGGTGATACTGATTGATTAGGCTCCAGCAACTGAACTTCAGGGTGCAGTGCCAACCTGACCCATGCATGGAAATACAACCACATCATTTCACTTTCTGGGCTTGGCTTTGTATTTTCAATACTGTCCCTGCCTGAATAATTGATCAGAAAATAACGCAGGTAGAGGAAATGGCACAACCTCCTATTACTGAAGAAGAACATGTTTGTGACAAAAAATGTTCCATCTCATTGATCAAGGTTTGCTTAGCCCCATGTATTTATCTGAAGATCTGGAAGATGCCAGGGGGAAAATTACAAATCTCTTTGAAGTTTCAAGCTTTGCCATAGCTGATGGTCCAGTAGCTCCAGCAGTTTTTTGGTCACTGTTCTGAACATGGAACATTTGCCCCTCAAGACATGAATAACTCATTAAAGAAACAAGTTAATGGTGTGGGTGAGAAATGTGGATGAAGGATACAGTAAACTCACACATTTCCTGTAGTGCACACAGCATTACTGTAGGAACAAACCTCAATAATAACTAATGCCCTAAACCAAGAAACATTACATAGAATAGAGGCTAAGGAAACATTCTCTAACGAGGATTAAGATTATCAAAGAGAAATTGACAGGAGCATAAAAGTGACCAGAAATTATGAGTTAGATTCTATTACGGTGGAGGGACTGTCTTTGCTGGCTGGAAGAAATCACTAGAGAAAAAGAGAAAGCTGGAGTGTATGACTTCATATTAATCCAGGTTTGGTATGGATACGAGCTCATTGTTGGGGTTCTCCAGAGAAGACGATGGGAAAAATGGAACTGCAACTAGCTCTGCTTATGTGAGTCATCTGTACAGAAGACGCCGTGCCTTCATTCCTCTTCTCTAATAATGAGGGGAAAATGCTTTTAACAGTGAAAATGAATTATTTCAGTACTTTTTTTCTACTGAGAAGGAAAGTCCCATTCACAGAAAGCTCTGTGGCTAAATGAAGCTTTTAGTTAGTTCAAAACTGTCAAATTGTGTTTGAGGATATCTTGTCTTCTATCGCATATAAGGGAAATCAAGCATTAACCACAGACTGATTCACTTTAAGGTAAAGTTAAGAGAAACAGAAAGCAAGTTGCTGCTACCTGCAGCTAACTTCTGAAAGCAGTGGCTTGCCTCTAATAAGGCCCACTTCAAAGAATGCATAATTTTGGAGAAACATGGTAACATCTCTCTATTTAACTGAAAAGTGTTGAATCCTTTTACACCAAAATATCCTACTGCTAAAATTATTTTAAGTTCTGTCTACTCTACAGGGTGGCCCAACCATCAATTCCATCTGGTTTGCTATCTTTACTGTGGGGAAGATAGGAAGTGCTGTTAGTATGTCAAACCAATCAGCTAAGCATCTTCCACTGTGCAAAGGGAAAGGAGAAGAGTCTTAAAAACAGAACCCGATCCTCTGCACAAAAGAGTTCGGACCATCTTGCTACTCTGGTACAGAGAGCAAACAATATTGAAAAATATTGACTATGCAGCATCCTGAAAGTCAATGAAGACTAAAAATCCATCCCTCATACCACGATAAAGTTCACCACTATGTCTCAGATGCTCAACTGTTATCTCCATCAGGAAGAGTAACGTTGGCTACCTCGTCTGTCAGGAGCAGCCTTTCAGTACCTGAAGTCAGCTTGAATATCAGTGGGAGTGACAGGTAACTGTCAGATGGCTCAGTTACACTCAAACATATGAGCACACATGGCTACAACAAAAGTCGTCTCTCCGGGGAGGAGCAGGTTGAAGAGAGGCAGAGGGTCAGATTCTGGTCCCACTGAACTAAACTCAGGTCATGGAGTAGCCAAGATAAAAGTGATTTTACTGTTTTTTCAACTTGGAGACAGCAGGGAAATAGCTGGTTGCTCAGTTTTACAGCTAATTGCTGGGTTTTTTTCTTAAATATGGTTGATTATTGATCCAAGGGCTTTTCTGGCAGACACAGTCAGGGAGGCAGAGTGGCCCCTGCCACCAGGGGATCAGGTAGCTGGCCTTCTGACTGTTTTGTGCTGCCAGAAAAACCCAGAGATGCCTATATTAGGAAAAGAATCTGACTCTGGGGATGTGAGCCACGTGGAAATTTTAATATGACAAGGAGAAAATATGAGTTTAATGTACTGAAGCCCAAAGTTTCTGTAAGCTAATGGATGGCCGAATGAGTTGCTAAACAAAAATCTTCATTTCAGTTCACTGGTGTTGGCCTACCCCTCTTTTTCATCTGGGTATGCAGTCTTCCTAGGAAGTGCATGCTTTGTGCTAAAAAAAGGCCTATATTCTTTGTCAGGCTTCAGAAGAATATAGCCCTTTCCTATCTGCTGATCAGAAATCCAATAAAAATCCCTGCATGTTATTCCCAAGATACCACTTTACAGTTCCTACAATATCAAATTAATTTCCCTAGCTTTACAATGCATAAGCTATCTCCTTATTGACTAAGGCACAGTTTGTCACAATTTGGGGTCTGATTACCCCTATATTGTGAATAAGGCAATAAATGTGATTATTAAAGTGCTGGTACAGTTCTGGAAATGACTTGGTGTTTCCCTATATAATTAGGATGTCAACGGTCACAGTTGGTAGGGTGGATAAACTGAGACCTGTATTCCAGGGGATCTACCCTCTGCAAGTGGAGTGGTTGGAAAAAGAGATAACCTCTGCAGGTAAGTTAATTCATAACCTGTGCCCCTGAAGCATCTGAACCCGGCACCGACTAGAGTAACGTATAGAGACCAGCTGTCTGCTCAGGTACGGTTGTCCTGTTCCACAGGGACTCATCCGCACTTAGCACCTGGCAGATGGAAGTCTGCAAGACTCATGCTGTATCTAAAAACACAAGGCTTAATCTGAGTCCCACCGCCAGTGGAAGCACTCCCACTGACAAGAAGGGGAGTTGGCTCAGGCCTTAAAAAAATAACATCTGGTCCTCAGGATACCCCTGCTTAAGGGCCATTTGTTAAACCTGCACTGCAGAATGGCTTCCTCACACCTCTCCACTAATTCCCCAGTTTCCACAGCACACCGTGCAAGATCGCCTTTCGTTTGTGATAGTTTAGGCTCAAGAATGCACCTTCTTTACAATGTAAGGAAAGAATTAAAGCACCGTAAGTGATTCAGGCCTAAAAGGAAAGTGAGACTTACAGGTACCTGACTTGATAGACTCAGGTTTGCAGCAGCTGACTTTTTCTTGCTGTTGGTGCTATTTGCATTGTTCCCAGCACTGCTGTTGGAAGTGCTGCTCGTAGAGTTTTTCCTTTTTCTCCGTTTGGTTGTCGGTTGTCTTGTGGGTTCTGCTGCAATAAAATGGTAAGAAGGAAAGCAAATGGCAGATATTGTACTAAAATGATCCATAAACAGAAATGTTGAAATATTTTTTCATCTAGTTTTAATTTTCCATGTTTACTAGTAGGAGGAGTAGTAGTAGTAGTAGTAGTAGATTTAACACGGTAGAATAGTATTTGGACCCAAACGAATGGAATCTACTTTTGATTTTGTATAATGGACTAATGAAGCTTATTCTTCCAGCATTATCTGCAAAAATATTTGAAAGCACTTTACCAACGGGAGTATCATAATAACTATTATGATGCTCAAAGAGACTGTGTAACTTGCTGAAGGACACACAGCAAGCAACAGTGCTAAAAAAAAATCTAGGTCTTATTCTGATGTAAGGTACAGCTACAACTGCCCCAGCCAGAGGCAAAGGCTAAAGGTAGCGTTCTACCCTCCTGCTGCCATTGATGCAGCATCCAAGCAACTACTATTTGAGTTCCTTCTACCTCTGATGCGGGCTGCATCTCTAAATCTGCCACTCCCAAGAGAACACATTAGAGCATGCTGAATGCCATTTCTCTGTGAGTCTTCCAAACTCAGGCTGAATCAGAGCTATTACATAACTGCTTCAACTGTCAGCGAACAGAGGGGCAATTGTACTTCTCAAAATTTGGCATGGGACCCATGTGCATAGTCTTAGATATACAAACCTTTAATAAGCTGAAAAAAAGAGAGAATCATTATTTCAAGGTGTAAGAGAAAGAAGATTAGGTCCAGGCCTGTAAATAACATTATATTAGTCTCAAAGACAATTAATTATGAATTGTAGCTGTAATTTCAGAGTCACAGCAGGAAGCTGAATTACACAAACGATGAATTCTAATGGAGTCAGTAGGCATTTTGCATTCCATCTACACATATTTTTGTACTAAATTATACCCTAGTCATAGTGAAACCATCTGAATGTGCACATCTATAAATCAGTTGGGTCAGACTGAAATCATAAAACATCAAAATCATTTTCAGGCTTACTTTTGGATCAGTGCTAATTCTTATTACTTTCCTTTGTAAGTAAATTTGCAGTAAATTTTCCCATTGTTTCTATATTAATTTATCTATAAAATACATGAAATACTATAAATGAAACATACCTGGTGGGGCCACCATTCTCTGCCATTTTTGAAACAAGCAAGTCTTCAAGCAGTCTCGAGGACTTAGATTGTAAGTTTTATGTCTTGACATCAGTTCCTGCATTGGCTCCAGTATTACACACAACTGGAAGAAAAAGTCAGAATAGAATTATTTCATCCAAGCTAAGGCTCAGTTAATCAGTATTTACATAGCTGGAAAGTATATTCTTGGCTTTTCTTTACCCTTGCTAAGAGAGCATGCCTTGTACAGCTCAGTTAAGCTGCACCAGGATTGCAGGATCAAAACTTTGAATTGAGAAAAATTTTGCTCACTATTTGCTATCTTAAGTATTTTTTAAAAAAAAACAGATAAATTTCCAGCTTTGGTCTTCCAGACTACAGAGAATTCAGAAGAGTAGAAAATTTTCATGCTTGATTGCCAAAACTGCAAGGATGAATTAATATATAATAAAATGCTCATAGAAGGTTATCATTCCCAAATAGCAAAATGTACACAGTCGTCTTCTGACCTGCTGCCCTCCACAATGAATGAGGGCTGTAAACATGATATTTTATCTTGCTATTGCATGCAAAATAATTCAACTAATTTTGTTCCCTTCTTGTTATGAAGACTATACATTCTCTTCCCATCACATGAATGATGCCCAAGAAAAAAAAGAGAAGCATTTTATTTTCCTCATCTGATAGAATGCTCTATTATGTTGAAGCTGGGGATTTCTGAAAAGATGGAATTTCAAGCAAACCTCTTCCTTAAATAGTCTTATGCAATTTCTATCTGTTCACTTAGTAATTAAAATCACTGCTCACCATTTTTTGCTCCTGCTAGCACAGCAGATCTAGCATAAAGAACACATTGAGCTGGTTTCTATTTCCTCTTGTTTATCATTACAGAATCATTTCCAGTCAGTTAAACCTTACATAAAGCCACAGAAAATTACAGAATTGCACACATGTAATTGAGGGCCTACCCTCACTTGTAGGATCCTTGATTTTGGTCATCCTACATGAGAAGAAAAAATCCAGATTGACCCCTAGGTTCCACCTGAAATTTGCAGGGATTGCAGACAAGAGGAAAAGGTTCCTTACTTGCTAACTGAGAACATTTGACAAGAAAATGCTGACACAAAATAAACATGGAGCCTGCATGCCATTTTCAGTCACTTTTCAAAGCAGAACTGCAGTTAGAAGCAGGGTAAGGTTTGGCTTTTTTTACCAACAGAAGGCAACAAGTTGGTCAAATTATTAGAAGTTAGAATGGTAAACGTAGAAAGGCAAAACTTAAGCCAAGTCTTGTTTTGAGTTATTTACTTAATTTTAGCAAGTCTTGCTGAAGGAGCATCTTGGATTTACTTCAACAGGCAATGTTTTCCTTCCATGCTTTTACAAATACATGGGACATGAGGCAAATTCTTCTCTCTGGGCTGCAGAACCAATCAATGATTTCTCCTTTCTCACCATGTGCACCCCACTCTCATTCATCTAAATGGAGATGCAAAGTATGCAGGGAAAATAGCTGAAAGGGAGCTGCTATGAGGACTAAGAGATTAATTCAGCATTTAAATATTATTGTATATTGGCTCTGCCTTTTGATGAGCCTTTCATTAACAGCAGTTAAAACATAGATAACATAAAGCAGCGGGGAGAATGAAGATCTTCAGTATGAGGAATTATTTTTTTCCAACAGCAGAAATTGAATCTGCAGTTGCCTCATTGACTTTTTTCTTACATAGACTTTTACCATATATTTTTGCAGATAAATATTTGCAAGGTAATCTAATAGATAGAAAGCTGCTATCAGACTGTGCACTTTGGCCTCAGATTTTCCTCTGGTACCAAAAAATTTTTCTACCAAAAATTAAGAGCATCTGGTTCTAAACTATGTGTAGGATCCAGTTTATGATGTGAAAGAAGTGTTGTATTTTGAGTTCTTATGAGTTTATTCTGAAACCTGCAGGCACTTGCTCAGGTTTTTTGTGTGTGCATGTGAGAGGGATTCGTTATCATAATCGACACCATTGCTTTGGTTCTCAAAAGCCTGGGCTTCTGGCAGGGCTGCCTAAATTGTCTCATTATGAGCAGATAGTAACTAGCATGAAAAAGATGGTTGTGATAATTCTTAACAAACTAGTTAGTCTGGGCAGAGCACTACACTCACAGAGCTCTACTGCTGCTGGGGCTAAAAGGATGTAAATATACACCTAGGGTCTTCAAAGATTTCCTTAGGGACACATTTACTACTCCGTATATATTTATTGTTGGCAACAAAGAGAATGTTTCTTCTTTATCATCTGGTAAAGATAATTCCTCTTGTGCACTAACCATAATGCGCACCGAGGAGAACTACGCAGTCCCTGCTGCCTGTAGGTATCATCTTGACTGCTAATCCTGCCTATAATCTCTTTCACTTCACACACAAGATTAAAATTGGATATGGACCCAAAATGTAGCAATGCCAGACTGATCTCACGTGCATGGACTCAAAATGGCAAGCACCAGGGCCCCAACAATGGGACATGGGACGGTTTCCTCTCCCAGATATTTGGGAGCTATATGGACTTGTGTGAATTCCTCCTCTGATCTGGGACTGGGGAATTCTCAACTGTTTTCTCCCTCTAAAGACTGCAAATTGTAAGGTCAGATTTGGATGCCTGAGTAACAGAAGAGCATTGCACTCTGTCATGACAAGTCCATTTTAAATGTACCTAGCCCATGTGAATTGGGCACAAATGTAAAACGAACTGGATTAACGATGACTGATATTAAATCTTACAGTCTTTTTCAGTGACCTTTGAGACCTGCTTGAAATCTAAAGTGACTCAAAACCAAATCCCTGAAAGAACAAAGGATCATGGTCCAATTATCTTAAATCTGAGGAACCTGCCACTGACAATCAGTAGCTTGATTTTTGCAAAGAGCTGGATTAAAAATGTGGGGGCAAGACGCATTTAAGAGCTAGATAGACCAAAACCACGTGTTGTCTTTAACTGGTAGTGAACAGGGTAACTGGCAAGCTGGTTTGACTGCACCATTTTACAAAGTGACTTCTTAAAACAAAGCTAAAGAAATGTTTTACATACTCCTGCATTCATTGGCATGCAGAAGAACCCTGAGGCTTTCACTGCCTATTCCCCACAGATCACCTAATCTCACTCTGTGAGATTCCTTTTCAAAACATCTATTTTAACCTTTTTTCAAGCATTGGATAATATTAAATTGTACAGGTCTTTACTGTAGTACTATAATAATAATATTTGGAACACCAACAAAGCCAATATCTTCTACAGGCATTTTCTGCACAGCTCAGAATCAGTCACCCAGGAAAATACCCTGAAGACTTAAAGACTTTGCTGCAGTGATCATGCATGATGACAGAATTAATTTCTACATTTTTAGGGACCCAGAACCTTTAATGGCAATGTTTGACAAGACACAGTTAGACATTTCTAAGCTCTGTGTTTAAGCAACACAAAAGGTGAGACTCATTTCCCCGCACATAGGTGTCTAGCACTTGCTGAAATGCCCTGGATTATCCTGGACCTGATCCATCTGATCTCTCGTGCCGTCCCAGAAGGACACAGGGCTCCATGTGGATGTTTCAGGTACTAGAATATGTTGTAAATGTGTGGGCAATTGAATGAAGCCCAGAGTCAAAAGAAAAAATTATGCTTCTTTTAGCTTTTAAGACATATTTGGAAGAACATGTATCATAATAGATTATATACTTTCCCTCTGCAGTACTAAAACCTACTGAAAGAACTTCACATGATGCTTAGTAACCCAATATTATTAGAATTGGTTTCCAGTCATGTTTTCTTATTTGAACTCATCACAATGATGCCTGACCATGACTGTGGAACCATTGGTGTTTCACTGTGTTGTAGCTGTGAGTTGGATCCATTGCTAGAGACAAACACAGCGCTTTACAGTGAGAGAAGTCATTGGGGTGAAAAGTTCTTATTTGTGGGTGCCCAGCATGCACTGGGACACATGCATGCACTTTGGTGCTGTATAGAGTATCAGTGATTTTGCTAGAGTTCCATATGGATCCTATGGAAGATTCATCAATTACAGGACTTGGATCCAACTTGAGAAAATAGTCATGTTATACCCTTGGGGCTCTGGGAAGCGAAAGTAGGAAACATAATAAAGCACATGGCTTTTTACTTTAGCAAAACACATCTGGAAGGATTTGATTTATTTTATTTTTAATGACTTTTTTAGAGAAGAAGACTAGCATTTGTAGGTTTCAGAAAACAATGTGTTTTAAGAAGGGAGTTATATGAGGAGATACTAGAGGCACTGCAGACAGGAGTTAGAGGGTTCTGAGGATATGGATCCACACGTAATTTCCTGTAATACTTCAGTTATCAGCAGAGCTAAAATCAGCCTTCATAGGTAAGGGGTCAAATTCAGCTCTGAGATCACTCCAGTCACACCAAGAATGGTTTTAGCCTTATGATTTTTGTTCTAACACCAGGTTTCTATTCTGTTCTGAGAACAGATGTGCATTCTGATAGCTGTGAAGATTAGCAGAAAGACCAATGCGAAAGCTCTCTTTTACCTTACTTTTCCATACCATAAGTTTATGTTTTCTATTGCTGATTTCATTAGCAAGTACCCTTTTCTGTGGAAGCTCTTGGGTCCATGAGAATTTTTACATTTCCAGCAGAAGCTTGGGGTTATGCTGTTGGGGCAGACGTTGTGGTCCCACCGGCTTTGAGCTGCAGGTGGCAGAGCTAACCCAGCTAACAGTCTTCTGCTCACATGCTGGGAGCACAAAAGAACTGCAGCCTTCACTCTTTCAATGCCTTTTGCATTTTAAAGAGAATTAAGCTGGACTCGCAATACTTAGGTGGTGAGACCGACATAACCCCCAGCCAGTTTCTTTAAAGCAGGAAACATAGTGGGTCAGTAAGTGCTGGGCAGCCAGAAAGTCCCAGAGTCTCCCAAAAGCAGCAAGTTTTGAGAACTGTATCTTCCCATGGTTACCAGTCTTGTCTGTATAAGCAAAAGTTTCACTAACCACAATTAAAAAAATTGAATTATTGAAAATTTTCATGTAGAGAACACTTCAAAATGTTCATGTATAATGTAACATCAGTTTTTCTGAATGAAACC